GATTGGTAGAGCTTACTTCTTGTGCCTCCATGCATCGGTGATTTTTAGAACCTTCGTGACCCTCTTGAGAAACGTAAGAACAAGCTGGCCGAGTCTCTTCAAGGTAATCAGCTCTTCAGAGACATTGAAGATGAACTTGCATGGATCAGAGAGAAAGAGCAGGTAATGTACCTTTCAAAGTCTATAAATTTACCGAGTACTCAGTCATGTTTTTACAATGGTTACCCGCTGTTGCGCAGCCTGAATTAGCGTAATCTCGTTAGTAAAGACATCCTGGCACTAAGGAGTAATTTAGGTGGCTGGCTCTACAAATCGTGGTCGTGACCTGATAGGTGTCCAGAATCTCATCAAGAAGCAGCAAGCGCTCATTGCTGAGATCGCCAACCATGAAAGTCAAATTGATGCTGTCTGCAAAGCGGCTGAAGATATGATTCAGCAGGTATTTTTCCCATTTACTGTATGTTGAACTTCAGTAAACTTCAAAGTATTATTTGTTTATTTGTGGACGCAGTGTCTCTGTGCTTAACACATTGACGACCGCGTGAGACACATTGAATGCACGCGTTGTAGGCCATGTGGGACAGCGTGCATACTATACAACTCACGATCAACAAATCCATATCTTTCAACAGTGCATGGTTTTTTAGTTAGTTTCTCTTAATCATTGTATAGTTCAGACCCTGGTGTACTCGTACTATGCGTAGTCCATGGAATAATTCAGTACACACTAGTTTAGCAAATACTTTTTGGGTAAAGATCACCATTTGCTCGGACTGATTTGCTCTTCAACACTGGAATGGTTTGCTCTCCAACACTTAGCTGAGAAATGCTGATCGATACAATGTTGATAATGGTCAAAATTATAGGGTGAAGGATTCTGAACGCTATAGAGGGCACGACACCTTTTTTTATGAAAACATTGGTTGCGGACGAATTTCTGGCATCTAGTGCAACGAGAGTTAGCCAGCCAGGTTTTTTCTATACTGAAGTATTAACTTACTTCATAACTGCGCTCTAATCCAGTTTTCCGATCCAATTTCCAAAAAAGCGCCTCGTGGGATCGTCTGAACTATGTGTGTACCGCGCTGGTTGCGTTCGAGAAAACGCGCGTGTCCCACGCGGCCAAAAAGTAAAAACGCGCATGTCGTCAACGTGTTAATAATTGGACAACCATCACGGACGCCAAAGACAACCATAGGAAGCGAGAATTGAAGCGAAGCAATCCCTTAGATGCGAGAACTTATGAGACCTCTGAATTAAACTAGCCTGGTGGCCCTTATACGAAAGGCTCCAGGTGACAATTGGAAAATATGTTCGCCAAAAATTTTGTTCAATAAGTGTAGCACTCTGATCGCAAAGAATTTAGACCTGACTTGGGTTCTCGATATGGGAGCCCTGATCTTGACAGCGCTTCCTCTAGTCCTCGATGTAACAAGTAAAAAATTCATCCGATCTAACCGTTGCTATACCTGTTGACAGGGTACAGCATGGAGATGTGCGAAATTTTGGTGTTTATACGACCCCCCCCCCTCCTGCTCTAACTGACAACCAGATGCATGTTCACACCAAATGGCTTCCTGAAATGGAATCTGGATTTTCGAAAGGCGGACTCTGCTCTAAAATCCAGGCAATAATAGGCTGTTTCAGCCTCATGCAATATGAGGCTGAACAACAGCCTCGCATTACCTACAATTTTGTCTTAGGATTCAAAATAAAACTCGTCGTTCGACAACCATGTATGACATGTATGACATGCAACTTGTAACAAGGAACACAATCGAAACAGCGACTAATGGTGATCATTGATAAGCTAAATTGGTGAAAAAAATAGCCCCAAGGTCAGTGTGTCAGGCCCCAGATGTGCATTCAATGAATGGTGACGGAGAAATAATAAAAACAAACATGAAAAATACAAAAAATGCGGAGCCAAATGAAAAAAATGGATAACCAGGCGGCAGTATATCGTTCTATACTTGGCTATTATCGATCGCAACGTTGCGACCGCTTTCATTGGAAAAACGTCATTGGAGCGCGGTTGTTGGGCCTGCCAACGTCCTGGGGTCTTTTGGGGGGGGGGGGGTTATATCTGTTATATCCCTTTGATGAATGGTTAGCAGCATGCAACGGGAATGTTCCTACTGTTGCGTTTTCTACCCAGTTGCAATCTGAATGTTTCCCCGTTCGTGAAATATTTCGGATGGGTTTCGGATCGGCTAGGGGTAAATGGCAAGCGGGTTTTTATGCTTCACACGAGGATTATTTCGAACGCAATTTCATCAGGATTAAAATCGTCTTGAAACCGCCCTATCTTTTCTCTTTCCAATAAGCTTTACAGTTTTTCTGAAGACCCACTAGTTCAGGAGATATTTTAGATGGGTCACAGACGCGCTACCCTCTGACCCACCCGAAAAATCGACTCCTTCTGTGCCATTGTGAGGATACACCTTCGGAAACTTCAGTGTGCCTTCAAAACACATATTTCCCTTCAAATGAGTGAAAGAGGAGCTCGGCTATCACTGATCGATTTGGTCCGAGTGTGCGCCGTGCATTACGCTCCTACGCAGAGGTGGTGGAAAGGTGTAAATTCTGATTTCAGGTGCTTTTATCCATGCAAGCAGATGTTTGTTTAGGGTTTGGAAAGGACAATACGCACGAATCTGTTTGAGACGTATTATTTAGTCATCTACGTACTTACGAGTTCATGCTATTAACTGATATTTATTTATTCTTGCTATTCTTGCTATATTGCTAATAATTTTTTATTATTTTGTAGTCCTATTTACATCCGGGTCTTCTGCAGCTTTCCGTCCGTTCCATCAAACTTAGCAATGACACTTTTGTACTGTTTTGCCTAGCGAGCCTACTTTTGCGATACTCCCCACGTCCCCCGCGGCCAAGTACGAACCCATTTTTGGGGATTTCGCATGAAAAGAGGGCTGTTAAACGTAGCAGTTAAATCTGTAAAGAATACACTCATAATAATTTTCATTTTTTTACATCTTGACTTCCATAGCTCCACTCCCACTATCAACTGAAATGTCGAAGCATTGCCCGGCTCTGAGTGACCCTTGAGATTACGACCCCCCCCCCTCCCCAGCGGCCAAGTACGACCCCCTATGGGTTTCGCACAACGATGCTGTACCCTGCCTGTTGATGTCTTGAAAGCCATCATGAGGTCATTGATCGATCTTCTATTAAGGAGACTGGGTAAACCGTAAAGACGCCGTCTTTCCGCTGCGCTTGGTAGAGTGTCATAGCTCATTCCGGAACATCGGAGGGCAAGTTTACGAGTAAAGCTATTCTGCACACTTTCCAAGAGCTTAATATCCTTTTTTTATATGGCGAGAACACTGAAGTACCATATTCCACTACAGGTCTAACATAGGCTCTAGACCTACGAAAACGAAAAATCCTAAGTTATTACTGCAGGCTCTATAGGCCTGCAGTAATAACTTGGGATTTTTCGAATTCAGTGCTTTGAAGAGAGTATAAATTCTGTTGTTAGCCTTGGAAACCAGTGACTTATAATGTGTTTTAAACCCAAGTTTGTTGGAGAAGATAAAACCAAGGTCCTTTATCTCTTGAACTGACTCTAAAGTTACAGATTTTTGTAGTTATGGCTGAAACGTTCATTTCCGGTACTAAAAACTTTGGTTTTATCAGGAGCCAGGGGTAATCCCCACTTCTCCAACGTACAATATGATCAATAGCTCTCTGCAGGTCCTCGCAGTCGGACGCACTTTCATAACTTTGTACAGTTTGATATCATCGGCATACATCAAGCATTTGACCCCAAATCCTGACAAGGAGGTAGGGAGGCAGGCCGTATAAGCAATAAACAGTAAAGGCGATAAGACTCCACCCTGAGGGACGCCACTAGTGATCAAATACTTCGAAGAAAAGCTATGCCCAATTCGCACTTGGTATGTACGATTGCAAAGGAACGATTCAATCCAGCGTACTATGAGAGGATAAATCCCGAGCGATTCTAACTTTGCAGTGAGTTTGCGGTGTGGTACCCGATCGAAACGCTTTTGCAAAGTCAAAATATACCACGTGTACAGGTTTCTGCCATCAAGTGCGCTAGTCCTGCGCTAGTCCATTTATTGAGAGAAGTAAGTAAAGCAGTTTCTGTTGATTTACCCGTAGAGAAATCCGTGCTGATTTGTGGGAATAAGACTGTTTCGGTTCAAATAAGTAGTCACCTTACCTTTCGACTTTCTTTTCAAAGAGCGTGCAAAAACTGAAGTGACACTTATGGGCCGATAGTTGGAAGGATTGCTAAAGGGAGGCTTTCTTCGGAACTGGAACAATGAAAGAGTGTCTCCACCTTGATGGGACTTCCGATCTCATATATGACAAATTAAAGAGTAGTTCCAAAGGGAAAGCAAGACAGTGCGCAATCCTTTCTAATGAGATGAAGAGGTATAAAGTCAGGTGTTACCGAATGGGAGTTAGGCCATTTTGAAAGCAAATCAAAGATCTCATCTCTGTGAAACCATAGAGCTGGACCCATAGTAGACCCACAGGGGGAAGCTTATGAGAGAACTTGTCGCAGCTCATGAGAGAACTTGTCGTCATCGTTTTCCTCTGCGGAAATTCTTTGAAATTGTTCTGCTAGCACCTCCGCCTTTTGTCCATCAAGTGTGGCGACATTCGAATGACCGATACGCAAGGCAGGAATCTTCTTGGATTCATTAAGACGCTTATTAATGTATGTGAATAACTTTGTGGAGTCCCCTGACTCGACAACCTTCTTTTCCAAATAGGCATTATATCTAAGCAACCGCCTATTGAGCCCGCTGTCCAAATGCTTATATTCACTCCACATGCGAGTAACCGCCTATTGAGCCTGCTGTCCAAATCTTATATTTACTCCACATGCGGTCACTACCCTCAGCTATGGCATGAGACCAAATTTTCCTGCGCTGACTTATCATTCTTTCAAGGTACCGAGGAAGTTTGTACCTTGAACTTCTGATCTTTCGCAGGAGAGCAAACTTGTCCATAGTGTAATGAAGAATTGAAAGTAATAATTCTTCTCTTCTACGGACTCCGCTGTTGCGAGTGAACCAATCCAGTCAATATTGCTCATATGTCTTTCAATATTGCCTCATTGAAATCTCTCACCCATCTCTCTGAGGCAGCTCTACTTGAACTGAGGTTCAGACTGAAATCAATTGAGGCATGGTCACTGTTACCAATAGTGGGATCACTTCTACATTTTTAACTGATCGAGCATCGTTACAAAGAATCAAATCTAGCCAGGAGGAGCCTCTTGTTGGCTGTTCAACAAACTGTACAAAGTTATGAGTGCGAAAAAAATCAGCAAACCCTTTAGAAAATACAAAAAAAGGAGCAACAAACTAGGCCCATTAAAATGAAAATTCGAAAAATTCATTTTAAGATACTTCACCCATAATATATTGCACAGCACTAGCAGCTATAATCCCGTCTGCATATGATAAAAAGAAGTATTACTGATTTCCAGGGACATTTCCTTGCTCCCGAGATCCGAGACAAACTCGCGCAACTTCGTGATAACTGGAGAATCTTGAAGACGAAGGCTGACAAGCGACGTCTGGAGCTCGATGACTCGCTGCAGGTAAAATTTTCCTGTTACTTTGTCAGGTCTGGATCTAATAAATCAGTTTGTTTTAGGCTCATCAATATTTGGCTGATGCAAACGAAGCCGAATCGTGGATGAACGAGAAAGAACCTGTCGTCGGCTCCACTGATTATGGAAAAGACGAAGATTCAGCTGAGGCTCTTCTCAAGAAGCATCGTGCACTGATGTCGGATTTGGATGCCTTCAAAGGAACCATCGATGATTTGAGAAAGCAGGCCGCCCAATGTAAATACCAGGAGCAACCAGTTGGACAGCTTGGTATGTGCTAGTTTTTGCAATGTCTTTCGGGGATGTTGGACACCAGTTATCTTTGAATTATTCAGGCCGTGATTGTGTCCTTGCGTTGTACGACTATCAGGAAAAGTCTCCTCGTGAGGTGTCTATGAAGAAGGGCGATGTTCTCACTCTGCTGAACGCCTCGAACAAGGACTGGTGGAAAGTGGGTGTTATAAATAATCAAGGAAGTCTGCTATGTTGTCGGCGTACAGAGCTAAATGTAGAGACTATCTGGGATTTTTCGCTATCTGAAGGCTCTCTTTACTAACAAGGGAGGTCGTTCAGGGCGTGCCCCGCTTTTTCGAAACGGTTTATTGCACTTTGTAGGGCCTTGCCCATGAACCATAAAAGTGGGCTTCGTTTTGGCTGAGCGGCCCCTGGAATGCCAAAAAAGGAGCGAAAAAGAAACCTATGGAAACTGATTGTTTTTGAGCCTCTACGAGCTGTAAACCGCTTGAAACTTTGACCAGTTGCTGAATGGAGGGACCCTATAAAGGTACTATCGGAATCGAAGAGAAAAGTAGTCGGGGTATGGGGTCTTACTTGTGGCACGTAATCAAGAGTGAACGGCTTCTTGGAATGGTTTCTTCAACGATCGGAGCAGTGTTCAGCAACAACGATCGGATGGCCTAGTGGATAGCGTGGAGGATTCTCAAGCGGACAGTGAGGGTGGGGTTGATGGTTCGACTCCCCTCGGCGTGCGAGTTTTTTTATTTTGCTGTTTTCGCGTTCAAATATGTCTGTGCGTGAGTATGCGTTCGATAACTGCCATTTATGGGCACATTTTAAATGGGAACACTCCATGAATCAGTGCTATTCAATTATTTCAGGTTTTACATACCATAACAGATTACAGGTACTCACGATGTGACGGTCCACCCCCGACCGTCTTCCACTCCCTTCCTTTCCCCTTTGATGTTATTATGATAAATATGTATAGCCTAAAACTCTTTTGTATTCAAAAACCGCTACACACCTTCAGATACAGGAGTCATGAACCTGTAATCTGATAACCATTAAGCAAGACCGTAGTTGAAAGTTGATCTTTATAGGTAGACAATGCCCGAATCACGAATATGGAACTCACTTGTAGCTATGGTGCCATTTATCGCTAATATGGAGCCACATGTTTCTTCCAATGAATGCGTTAGGTACACACATATAAGGGACGTGTAGCGCTACCCAGGCGCCAAATTACGTCGGCGCCGAAAATAAGTGTCAAAATCGTGATCGGGGCCATCGATTACCCCTGTAGACGTTTCGGCCAAATTTTTTTTCGACTTTTTGGGTTTATGCGTTGGTTGTGCAGTCTTTCTATAGATATCTGCAGTGCCTCGCCATAGGGACCCACTATTTTATTGATATCAGAACATAACCCAACAATATCGATGAAACTTGTGCAGAGAGGAAGGAAAGAGGAGTATTTTTCCAGGTCGACTTTAAAAAAAGTTGAATTTGAATGAGTGCAATTTCTGTTCCCGTAGTGGAGAATGACTTCTTCATTGAGCGAACAGGCGCTAGGGATCGGCAAAGGCCCAGGATGCTTTTCCACGAATGCCGCGACCAGCCACACTTGTGCCAAGCATGACAGGACCTTGGGGCACCCTTGCGACACAGCTGTCCTGCCCCGCGTTCTGCTACGTCATCGTCACGTCATCATTTTTACGAAGATGTGAGAATGCGGTCACCGCTGCCGATCGAACGGTCTACCGTCGAAAAAGTTTTTTTGGCTTGAAGTTCGTCCATAGGGGTAATCGATATGGTCCTGATTACGATTTTGACACTTATTTTCGACGTCGACGCAATTTGGCGCCAGTATAGCGCTTAAAGTCTCTCATATGGGGGTACATAGACGTACTTTTCGCTCCTTTTTTGGCGTTCCTGGGGGGGGCCGCTCAGCGAAAATGAACCCCACTTCTGTGGTCTATGTTCAAGCCCCTACAAAATGCAAAAAACCATTTTGAAAAAGCGGGGCACGCCCTGAACGACCTTCCTCGTAAGAGTTTGTTTGCTGCAGGTCGAAGTAAATGATCGCCAAGGCTTTGTACCAGCTGCCTATGTGAAACGTATTGAGCCAGGCACTGCTCATCAGCACAGCCAACAGCAAGTAAGTTTCCAAGTTATGCAACTGTGAAATACAACTGTGGATGAGACATAATATCTTCCACACTTGAGGTCAACTCGATTGGTGGAAAGCAGAATGAGATTGAGGACAAATACCAACGTCTGATGATGCTTGGAGAAACACGCAGAAGGTACAATGTTGTCCACTCGGCTTATCTTGATAGACCGTCCGGTTATCTATGAGCTACCTGAGTTCAGTCCCTTTAAAAGCGTCAATTTTTGCGCTTGTCTGTTCTTTTTGTCGTCCAGTTAGCATGGTGGATTACCCTAGAGTCCCCTTCCCTTTGAATAACCGATTTGCTGGCTCATCACATGTTTTTTTCGCACCGTTTGGTGTTTTTATAACCGCCTGCGCTACATTATTTCGCAACGGATCATGCAAAAACGTAGTAGTCACCCTACTTTTGGGCCGAGCTGGAAAACTTGCTATAGTGACATTCAAAATGGTATTCAACTTTGGTCTCTGTGAGACCTCGGCATTTTCGTTGATGTTGATGTTTTCTCTAGGGTTCCTTCATCGAAGACCTAACGTTTCTTCTAGTTCGTCGCCCACAGAAGCCCAGTCCACCTCTGCAGAGTGAGGAGAAATCGCTCAAGTTGATAGTTGACACTATTTGGAATAATTCGTGAATTGAGGCAGACCTGAATAGCCACTTGAACCTTTGTACACGGTCCTGTCACGAAATCGTGTGATGCAGGCAGAAGAAGTCAGCGGCTGTCAGAAGACGAAAGGTGGAAAAAAGGTTGGCGAAGAGACTCCGGGATGGGTGAGCCCTCATTATACGTGAAAAGTTGCAATCTGTGATATCACATCGGTCATAGAGCGGCTACACACGGGAGATAGCGCAGAGAAGAACAGAAAATCGACGCGATTAAAGGGATTGGATTCGAGTTGTCCGTATTTCCCTGCTGTTGGGCCATTTACCTCTATAAAGGTGGTAATACTGTGAATGTTTTCGATTGTGATAACAAGGTATATTTAGAAAGCTCGAGGAAGCCTGCAAAGGATACCAACTTCTCAGAGAAGCAAATGATCTTGCCGAATGGATCAAGAGCCGAGTAAGTGTTAAACTTCTCAGTACACTATATGGTTCCTTTTTTCTCAGGCGCACTTTCTCTGTTTAATGATACTTGATTTGGATGCCATTTAAGAAGAACACGCATGATAGTTTAGAACCTTAGTTTGCTGGAAGAAAAGATTCACATTTCTGTAAAATCAGTGCTGATTATACAGATGTAATTCTTTAAATTACACACTGTACTGTTTCCTTAACTCTGAGTTATTCTTATGTTTCCATCGATGTTTAGACGTACATGGCGGAAGTAAGTTTATCTCTACACTTTGCTTTGTTGGTGTTTGTACATCGAACTCTTGCTTCCCATATTGTGATACCCGATATACATATGTAACGTGATTAGTAATGTGATTGCGATGATTGCCCGATGTATAATCATCAAACTGTGTACTCCTACTTACTTTTAACAACTTCTTGGTCGTCTGTGGTCATTCGTAGAGTAAAGCACAATTTGTGACGTGAGCTGCTTGTGAACCGTTCGTTACCCACATACTTCTAATTATCAAGACTCTACATACCTCGTGAGGCGATGCTGTTCGTCGATTGTTTGAGGTTGAGAGCGTATGTGCTTGATTCCTTATGTAGGTGGTCAATGCTGCTTCGTTCTAGGAGGCTGTAGCAGCTCAACAAGAAATCGGTACTGATTTGGAGCAAGTGGAAGTGCTACAAAAAAAGTTCGATGACTTCAAAGGCGATCTTAAGGCGAACGAAGTTCGTCTGCAAGAGATGAACCAAATCGGTAGTTGCAATTTTTTTTAATTTATCATGATGCTTTCGATTAAGGAAACTGCCATGACATGGGAGTGGCCTATGTGGAGCAGTTTTGTTTCTGCTTTGAGCTCAAACTGTACACCCATCTCCAAGGACCGGAGTTTCCATGCGGGTGATGAGTTCGCAGCACCAATAGCGTGCCACATTCTTAACTCAAAGTTGCGCAGAAACTGGACTGGAGGGTGTTTATACCATTTTCACTTCAAATTCACCCTTTTTCAAACCAAATTCACCCTTTTTCAAACCAAATTCACCCTTTTTCAAACCAAATTCACCCCTTTTCAAACCAAATTCACCCTCACTTTTCACATCAAATTAACCACTTATAAGGGCGGGCATCATCAAGCAGATCACGCCAGACATCACTGCGAGCCCCGCCCCGACGGCCACGCCCACTTGTCAGCGCGGACATAGATTCTTGTTTCATAACTTCTGCTTTTGCTGTTTCCCACAACACTTTGACTGGAAACGACCGGGCATTGACACATGGCCGACTCCGCCCATTCTCTAAAGGGTTTGGCAATCTAGGCTGACCACGCCCACTTGCTTTTCGCGGACTTTCGATATTTTTCAAAATTTTTGCATTTTAGCTGCGTGAAGCCCCGCCCACTGTGAGAGGCTCCGCCCACTTTGAAGAAGCCCCGCCCACTTTTCAAAAATGGTGCAAATCGGCAGTATAGAGCCTTGGCTTGCATGCTAGGGTATTGCTGATCATTCGGAATAAACTTTGCCGGATTTTCTTGTTCCGAGTGACGAACGAGACCCTAGCATGCAAGCCAAGTCTCTATACTGCCGATCTGCACCATTTTTGAAAAGTGGGGGGCTTCTTCAAAGTGGGCGGGGCTTCACGCAGCAGCCCTAAAATGCAAAAATTTTGAAAAAATATCGAAAGTCCGCGAAAAGCAAGTGGGCGTGGTCAGCCTAGATTGCCAAACCCTTTAGAGAATGGGCGGAGTCGGCCATGTGTCAATGCCGGTCGTTTCCAGTCAAAGTGTTTGTGGGAAACAGCAAAAGCAGAAGTTATGAAACAAGATTTGAGAATCTATGTCCGCGCTGACAAGTGGGCGTGGCCGTCGGGGCGGGGCTCGCAGTGATGTCTGGCATGATCTGCTTGATGATGCCCGCCCTTATAAGTGGTTAATTTGATGTGAAAAGTGAGGGTGAATTTGGTTTGAAAGGGGTGAATTTGGTTTGAAAAAGGGTGAATTTGGTTTGAAAAAGGGTGAATTTGGTTTGAAAAAGGGTGAATTTAAAGTGAAAATGGTATATATGGGTGATGGCTCTTTACTTCTCCCGCGCTATCCTCATGGTGCAGCACTTACGGAACGCGCACTAAGTGATGGAGAACAAGCAGAAATGAGAGAGCGCCGATTGAAAGCGTGTTTGGCTACACTGGGCGCTTGTCTGGGTGGGCCCGGGAGTGGTGATATAGTTTGAGATGACCTTATAATTACTTTTTCGCACATACTGCCAGTGGGATAGCCCCGCTTAATTGCTTACGCTGACTGCTGACCTCTCATCAAGTTACTGACTATGAGTTAAGTGAATAAATATAAGTGAAGAGTTATATAGAATGGAATTTTTGTAAACGGGTGAGTATCCCACTGTGTATAATTCGCTAAGTTTGTTTGTTATTGTGTGTTTCTGAGGAAATACATGAATTCCTTTAATTCAGCCGTAGAGAGTTCCGAACTGTTAAGTGACATGTGCGGGGAGGGTGAGACGGGAACATGGATGATGGGTGGCAGGAAGTGATAACAGCTGACATGGGGTCTTAAAAAGGGAGGGTCACCAAGTTCATAACTTGCGCTGCAGCGGTGGAGCGTTGATTCCAAGAAGTGACATAGGGGATATGAACTTCATTGGTGGGTGGCAGGAAGTGATATTAGCTGACAAGAGATGATAATGGGTGTTAGGTGAAGGTCACCAAGTTCATAACGTGGGTTTCAGCATCGGTGGGAACGTTTAGTTCTAAGACATGTAGTGTACGGGTCATGAATATCATTTAAGGGATGGCAGGACGCACTGAAGACAGCTCCCGCGATAAAAGTGTCATGGATACTTGCTTTTCAATTACGAAACAGTAGCTGATAAGTAATTCTCCAAAGAAGAGAAAAAGCAAGAAGAGTTCTCAAGAACACCATAAACAAGATCGCTCCCTGTCAGTCACACAGCCCTGCGGTCATTGTGCAACCCCTGGCTCACAAATCCCTTTATCGCTCCCAGTAATGGATATCATCCAATGCAAAAAAAAGGATAACAATAAAAACACGGAAGAACTCTTGAGAAGGGAAACAAACTTTCAAGGAGTTGGCGTCCGAATTAAGGGTTACGGTAGCGTGCATCTTTTAGTGTGTTTAGTGCGTCGAGCTTTTGCACCACGAAAATTGGGTCGCTCGTGATTTTTACGCGTTTTACCTTGCGAGATGGGATGAAGTTGACTGTATGTGCTGCTAATGAATAAAATGTAATAAAGGAAAGCAGAATTATTCATGGGCACGAGCGTGGTCAGCAAAAAGGACATGAACGATTAATGCCCGCCGCCCCAACAAAGAACAACTGAGCGGCCCTCCGTCAGAGGGCATCTAGCAAGTGGGCGGTCCAACTGAGCGGGCGTTAGAACTAGAACTTTGAGCGGCTGTAGCTCGCTCCTCGCTCGCTGTGGAGTCGCGAGAGTGGGACAGTCTCTAGCTTGGGGGCTGTACTACTTGCACAAGGAAGGATGACCATGTACTACTTGAGCGCGGGGCTGTCTGTAAGAATTGTTATGATCTGATAAGGGGATTTGAAACTCAAGCGTCGCCCGTCACAGTATCAGTAGGAAGTTGGTTCCAATAAGTGATAGTGGATGTGACGGGGTTATTACTGATGGGTCACAGAGAGGGATAACAACTGATAGGGGCTGATAAGAGGCGTTGCCCCTTTCACACTGTCAAATCATAAAGTTTTGTGGTAATGGTGACGGGTGACAAGGGATTATATCAATTGATAGGAATAATAAGAGATAAGAGCTTATTTTCACCTAATTTTTTTTACCACTATACTTCTAGGTTCAACGTATTTCAGGCTAAGTATAGAGAACCTATTGTTTTACTGCACGGGAGGGGGAAAGGGTTGTTCACGTGAGGTCTACAGCACAATCAAGAAAAGAATCAGCGATAATTATACGAGAAAGAAAAAAACTTAGCATTAATCGCGATTCACTATGGTAAACATTTCGCATTTTTTATCGCGCCAGGCGCGCAGTAGTGTGCGCCAGCCAAACTGGTGTTTTAATGAACCATAATGAATTTTTTCAGTTTTTTTTTCATTCCATATCTCCGTTATTCTGTCTTGAGTGAGCCTTGCAGTGAGAGGTCACCAGTCAGCGTATACAATTAAGCTTAGGTGTCCCACTGGCAAGTACGGGTGCGAAGTAGTAATTATAAGGTCATCTGAAACTACAAGGGGGCCAAAAAAAAGTCATTCCGGCCGAGTCACATATGAGCGAAGTTTTCGCAGCCCAGACAGAGGAAGTGGATATGAGTACCAGGGCGGAAGATACCCAAGATCTTCCTCTATAAGCAGGAGCCGGCTGCCGCCATTCACCTTCATGTACACCAAAATATGAAGTCATCTCCAGTCGCGGCCTGAGTGGAGAACGCCTTTGGAATTCACGTGGCCTCCAAACAGCTGCGGAACTTCTTGAATGGAATCACCCATGGATAGCTACCTGGAGACCAGTACTCTTGATCTGCAAGACCAAACATCGAGCAGCTCCGGCAACGTCGCTACGGTCCAGGACATCATCTTCACCCCATTCACCAAGGCGCGGGTTGATGGTGTGGACCGGCCGTACCTGGAATGGGAAGACCGATATTTTCTTTGTAGACCCCGACTGAAGGTGAGCGCTGGCGGTTACATCAAGTAACTCGAGAAGGATATCCTCCCTACATGTGGTCGCCCGTACCTTCTTGGAGACCTTGTGCTGCTACAGGTTTGGGTGCCACCACATGGAATCGAAGGGTTTTGGAAAAACTCCGCCTACTTCGAATGGAAGGGCGTTTCGTACCTGATGAAGATGTAATATTGAAATATGTCCCCTGACCTGAACCCACTCAATTACCTAGTTCGGGCGGAGCTCAACAGGGTGGTCTACAGTGGCGGAGAAATCAACGATCTCGCTCAACTCCGGTACCCACTCACTTTCGCGCGGCCGAATCTCTCGATGGCGCTCCTCCAGAAGGCTGTGGCGGAGTATCATTATAGTATTTAATGTGCTCTTTAATATGGTAGTAAAAATGTCCGATAAAAATTTAATAAAGTGTAACTTATAGCGCCTTGAAAGTCATGGAGGCAAAATGACTTTTTTTTGCCCCCCCCCCCTGTATATGCGTATACGCAAGGCAGAGTATGGAGTCGGAGCCAGGGTGCCACTGCCCATCGGCCTGGTTCCCTTGTACTTTTGAGAGGAGAAATGGCGTGTACTGCAGTAGCGAACCCGTTCGCCTTATACATGACAAGGATCAAGATCCACGGAAAGTGTGTACAGTTTGTCTCCGAGAAATTGGAGTGCTGAATTATTCGTCCTGTTTTAGCTACTGCTCTTACCTCTGTTGGCCAGACCGAGACTGCTGTTCGTATTCGCCAGCAAATTGAGGATCTTAATGCCAGGTATGGTAAATTTTGGAGAATGCTCTTTTCTTCAGCCTCTGAATTAGCATTTTAAGATGGCGCGCCCTTGAAGAACAGACCGAGCAACGTGAGCAGCAGCTCGGTTCTGCACATGAAGTACAGCGCTTCCACCGCGACGTCGACGAGACCAGAGATTGGATTCAGGAGAAGGACGATGCTCTTGATTCGGATGACTTCGGACGTGATCTCCGATCAGTTCAAGCTCTACAGCGTAAACACGAGGGTGTCGAAAGAGATCTTGCTGCTCTTGGTGATAAGATCAAGAGCCTGGATGAGAAGGTATGGGTGCTATTGATTATATGTCCTTGAGATAGTTACTTTCAATTTTCAGGCCAATCGTCTTCGTCAGAGTCACCCAGAGGCTGCAGAACAGATCTACGACCTGCAGCGCGAGCTCAATGAGCAGTGGAACAGGTTCGTCTAAGATGTTCGCTGTGCTGCCCTTTGTATTCCTAACATTTCCCCACTTTCAGACTCACGGCCAAAGCCAACAACCGCAAAGAGAAACTGCTTGATTCTTATGACTATCAGAGATTCTTATCCGATTATCGCGATCTTATGCAGTGGATATCTGCCATGAATCAACTTGTGAGCAGCCGAGAACTTGCAAATGACGTCACAGGTAAATTACTTCATCAGCCTCACTATAAGTGTAATTATCAATCCCTCTTCGTTTATAGGTGCGGAAGCGCTTCTGGAAAGGCATCAAGAATATCGTACAGAGATCGATTCGCGTGCTGCAACATTCCATGCCTTTGAACAATTTGGCAATCAACTTCTCAACAACAATCATTATGCTAGCGAGGATATTGCCAAGCGTTTGAATGATGTATGATTTTTATTTCAATTTAGGCCCTGTGCGGGTTAGGGGGCACTTTCGCACTTTCGCTAGTTGCTTTTGTTATTCATGCTAAATAACAGGCCTCATTGGTAACCAGGTGAAGCTGTAAACGGTGCGAGTGAGCCACTTTGGCCACAGAGTTCTACAGGTTTTCACAAGGTGGCCCGCGCAAATTTATCTGAGCACCATTCAATTCCCGCACCAATCCGAACAGCGCCCAGATTTCTTCTCAACTTATGATATAACAGCTGAAGTTGATTTCTGATTTTTCAGGTGAATGCAGCTCGTCAAGGACTTGAAGATGCTTGGGTGGCTCGCCGTAACATCCTTGACCAGTGTCTTGAGCTGCAGCTCTTCTACAGAGATTGTGAACAGGTCC